CCCTTTATTATGCTTCACGAATCACGAGAGCGGCGCAAATTAGATAGTTGAAGTTATGATAACGGATGTAAAGTTGTGTACGCAATTTAGTTGTTTGCACAAGAAGCATGAGTATAATGTAAGTAATGAAATAATGCTGAAACATGCCCTTTTGGCAGCCAGACAAGGAAACCTTAAAATGCATATGCGTGGGGTGCGTGTGTTATTGTATAAAAGAGCTTTAAGTTGTAAATGTGCTCAGGACAGTAGATCAGTAGAGAACAGAATTGGGATTAAATTAATCGCTGGAAGTAGTTAGCATTGCATAATTTAAGTACTATTACTAAATTCTAACCAAATTGCAAATTTCGACACGTTATAATGCCGTTTCCTGACCATCAGATTTCTGTCAAATCTTCCCCCAAGTCCAGGAAATGGCATTTCAGAGACTCTAAATTCAAAAATTTTCCTGGGGAGCATGCCCCCGGACCCCCCTAGACAAACCTCGCACCTGCGGCACTCGGCTCGTGCCTTCGGCCCTCGTTTCTCAATTGTAACATTATAGGGGCGCATATTAGTTGACAGCCCACTGGCCCCTCCAGAAAAATAGTACCCAGCACGCCACTTGGCTAGCAGTTAACCCATTATAGCGCAAGACTCTCCCCTTGACACGAAAATCATCTGGTGTTAGACAGAGTAAATAATCTGGCAATAGACAGAGTAAAATAATAAAGTATAGGGCGCATTGCAGCTTAATGGTTGATAACGTTGTATCCTGTTCCACAGTACTTCAACATTTTTTAGGTACAGGCGCATGTAGCCTGGCACATTTTGATGGATCAGGGATTCCCAAAGCGTTGGCAGCAATGGTTGAAACCCTTAAAGAGCATGCGCAAAATCACAGGGAACACAGGTATAAAATATATATAGCCATGCTTTGTGGCTACAAAGTATGCCAGTTTTTGCATACCTTATATATAGCCACGGTTTGTGGCAATAAAGTACGCATGTTTTCAGCATGCATACCTTATAGCCACTATAAAGTACGCATGTTTTCAGTATGCATTCCTTATGGCTACTATAAAGTACGCATGTTTTCAGTATGCATACCTTATAGCCACTATAAAGTACGCATGTTTTCAGTATGCATACTTATAGCCACTATAAAGTACGCATGTTTTCAGTATGCATACCTTATAAGCCACTATAAAGTACACATGTTTTCGGCATACCTTATGACCACGGTTTGTGGCTACAAAGGACGCCTGTTTTTGTTAGGGTTTGTAATCCAAGTGAATATATATACATTTTAAGACCTGACCAGGAACGACTGCGAAAAATGCAGCACAAGATCCTCTGGTAGGAATTGAACCTACGGCCCTGCGATTCCGGCGCAGCGCTCTAACCACCTGAGCTACAGAGGCCAGCTGTTAAGCTGTAGCCGTAAGTTCAGCGCTGCACCGGAATCGCAGGGCCGTAGGTTCAATTCCTACCAGAGGACCTTGTGCTGCATTTTTCGCAGTCGTTCCAGGTCAGGTCTTAAAATGTATATATACTCACTTGGATTACAAACCCTAACATTCTAATTAACATTCCACCAAGTGAAGTGCAAGAAACCAAATCATTGAAGTCCGCCTGTTTTTGGCATATCTTATAACCACGGTTTGTGACTACAAAGGACGCCTGTTTTTGGTATACCTCGCCGTTCTCTGAAATCACCTATGCAGGACGTTTTATATTTGACTTACACACAGGAAGTTTTTATTTTTGGATTTTGCTGAGAGAAATAAAACTGTGCCTGCCAGGGGGTGCCATAGGCAGCTTTTTCCGTTGTCCAAACAGAACGGGGGGAACAGGTTGCCCTTTTTTAAAAGACCTACACCTATTCCCGTGAATTGAAATTGAGAACGGTTTTGAAGCAATTTAGCTTAAATTAAATTTGAATCTGAAATTCCTCTCAGAAATGTTACCAATGTTTTCGACCTCTGTGAAAAATGTAACGAGGGCTTGAAATTTATGCGATACTATTTCTGTACAGAATCGAGATGTACATTGTCGGTGGTTTCTTGGACAGTCGTAATATTTCAGAGGATGTATTCATGCAAATTTTACGTAAGTATATTCGAGACTTAAGCCTGGTTCATACTAGCGCAATTAAAAATACTGTCGGCGATTTTGTGTTTCTAACGGATGCAAATGAGTGAACTCGCACACAAACGTATAGAGTCGCTTTTCAGAAGTAAACAATTTTAAGTCTTGCACGTCATTCGATCACATTTGCCAGGACGAGACCGTCTGCCGGGTTTGGCTCATTGGTTTGGTTTTGAATTACCCGTCCATCAGTGGACTGGAATTGATGATAGGCTGTACTATTTTTGCTGTGCCGAGTGGTTATATTACTAAGGGCCTTCGCTCAAAACGTCGAGTTTGACTACATTGGTACTACCTACATTGGTACTACCTACATTGGTACTACCTACACTGGTACTACCTACACTGGTACAGACAGTTTTTGTACTATTTTTGCTGTGCTGAGTGGTTATATTACTACCTTAAAAAATAAGCAAAAAATAGACGTTTCGAGCGAAGGCCCTTCGTCAAGAGTTAGTAGCAGGGAAGCAGGGATCGGGAAAAATGCACGGGCTTTTATACTAAGAGTATGAAAGTATCACGTGACAAAAAATAAACCAATTAGATGGATTTAATCATAACAAAGTGTAAACAAAATATGTAAATCGCATTACAGAATATAATACAATAAAAAATATATAAAAATAATATAAAAATAAACAGGAAGCTAAGACAATTACTACAAATAATAAAAAATTAAAAAAAAAAAACAAAAGTGGGAATAAGGTAAAAGTAATAAATAGATAAATGTTGTCAATGTCTGCTATAGACAGGCAAGGACAGAAGGAATTAAATATAGGAAAAGCGTTCATTAATACCAGAAGGGTGAACAGTGCCAAGTTTGGATATGAGGCGCATTTCACGTCGTAAAAAAAAAGTCGCATAAAAGCCCGTGCATTTTCCCCGATCCCTGCTAACTCTTGACGAAGGGCCTTCGCTCCAAACGTCGAGTTTCTGCTTATTTTTTAACGTAGTAATATAACCACTCAGCACAGCATTTTCACATTGGTACTACCCACACTGGTACAGACAGTTTTACTGTACTATTTTTGCCGCTGTCAATCAGCTTATGTTGTCCCAGGTGAGTTGTGTGCTTGATTTACACAGTACAACTCAAGTTGTAAGCAGGTTGCATGCGACAGCTTTAGGCAAAAGTTGTGTTGTCTAAATCAGCCTTCACGAAGTTACTCACAGCACTGCTTACCGGAGGATTTTGTGTCAATACTGTTTTGTCTATTGTATTTTTAGGCGGAACTTACAAACTAGCAGTAGACATTGATCTATTGTGTGCTTGTGTTTGTCGTAAGTATTGTGATATTTTTAAACAATATATTAAAGTGAGTATACGACATGAAATTTCTTACGTTCTTGAATGAAAGAACTCCTTAAGCTGTAGTGTAACTTATTTTTCAGTTTCTTGTATTTATGGTTTGTTCACGAGATATTTCAATTTGTTTGATATGTAAATGAGTGTGAATATGTCCGCTAATTTATGACGTCACGTTGGTTGCAAGCTCCTCAAAATGGTTGAATATCACTGCTATCATCCAAGATAACTTCAAACTTCACTCACTGGTAAATGTGATGAAACACTGGAGAAAAACGCGTAAACTGATATCTAAGTTTTTAGAGTTAATACATTTATAACATTTATAACCAGTTGAGCTTGCAACCAACGTGACGTCATAAATTAGCGGACATATTCACACTCATTTACATATCAAACAAATTGAAATATCTCATGAACAAACCATTAAAACAAGAAACTGAAAAATAAGTTACACTACAGCTTAAAGAGTTCTTTCATGTAAGAAAATAAGAAATTTTATGTCATATGCACTTTAAAAAACTCGATATAAATAATTACTTTTCTATTCACCTAGAATTAAATGATACGATGCTCAATGGAAAACATGTACCGAGGATATATGGGATAGGTAAGGAACAATTAAGACTGCTGTGCATTGAGATAAACTACCTGAAATTACAAGCAGTCTTAATCATCGTCGCTACCTACAATGGCACACGAGATATATCACAAAAGGAACAATTAATTAAACCTATGCATTACGGACACCTCTCGAATACGGACACTTCTCTGATACAGGCACCTCTCTAATATGGACACCTCTCTAATACGCATATCTCTCTAACACAGACCTCTCTAATATTGACATCTCTCTAATTTGAACTCCTCTCTAATTTGGACACCTCTCTAATACGAATACATTGAAGTATCTCTAATTTGGAAACCTCTTTAATACGGACACCTCTCTAATACGCATATCTCTCAATACAGACACCTCGTTAATACGTACGTCTCTAATAATTTCTTCAAAGAACAGTGAGAAATTTGAACACATATGTTTGGTCATCTTCGACGTTCTTCTGTATAGTCAATTGTATGAACACGTAGTTAAGGTTTACTATTGTTCGTGCAAACGTTAACCAACCAACCACATTTTAAAGTTACCCCCATTTTCTTTATTATGCGCCCTACTCGAAAATAACCTTTGTTTCAAATGCCAGTTTTATGTCACGCAAAATATTATTGCAAGGTTGTTGCAACATTTTTACTTGTTGACAAGCTTGCTACAAGCCTGTTGCGAACACATCTTGTTGATAAGTTGTGGGAATTTTTACGTGTGTATGTATACGAGTGTTATACAATTGAGCCCTGTTTTTTTTTTAACTATGACATGTATTCTTAGGTGTTGTGGTGTCAAGTGGCGAAGTAGTACCCGTACAACAGTTTAACTGTCAAATACCAGATGAAATATTACGTCACGTTGCACTGTATAGCGAACAAGAGGTAATCCATTCGATTAAGTATAGCCTATGGGCTATAGCTAACCGCGGCTATGTTAGGATGAAAATGTATTTAGGTGTTATTGGCATGGTATGCTTTTTAATTTTCTCTTTTCATTAAGAGGAGATTTTTTTGTATGTTACGTAACACGCGCTCAAAACTAATGCGTATAATATACCACTTGAGGTTATGACTAAATTCAAAATTTTTATTTTTCGATATCTTTCTCAATCGGCAAACAAACTTAAAAAGTATGTTTAGTGCTTTATCTGTAAAATAATGCCAAAATGAAGAGATTTTAGATGATACAAAGAGAAAATGATGTCTGAAGTTCAGTAAGTTTTGCTTATATGGCTGTAAATATGGCGTCAATTTTAAAGCATCATTGGTAATTGTATTTTAATTGACAATTTTTAACTAATATTTTGTGTTTCTCAACCGGCAGATGCATTTAAAAAGGTAGCTAACTGTATAAACTAGAGAATAAAGCAAAAACAAAGTGATTCTGAGAGGAATGCCAAAAATATTTTAGGTTTTGAACACTTTTCATTGTAAATACGTGACATTGAAAACATTGCCTCTTAATTTTCCAGTTTTGCCAGTGTATAGCTATGGCCATCTCTATTCCGGGTTTTTCCAGTTCTTTTATTCATCTCATTTTAGCAAGGTTAAGCAAGCGAGGTTTTTTGTCAACACGGACGTCAGATTGCCGAGCGGTACCCTGGTTGCCAAGGTTCTCGTATCTTTCGCCTTATTCCCGCTCGTATTTATAACAAGGCGAAAGATACGAGAACCTCTGGCAACCAGGGTAGCCGAGCGGGGACTGGATTAAAAACTGTGTTTGTATCAGAATGCTGGATTTGGTGGATACATATATACACACGATTTAAGACCTAACCTACCAGGAACGGTCCTTGTGTTTCCATCAGTTTGTAGTAACCTCCAACTATGAGAATTTTGCTTCCTTCCACGAGCGCTACGATGCAAAAATTAATTACACCAATTTTCGGGTGACGTCCGTGTTAGCGAAAACGTCGTTTGCTTAAGCCTGCCGCACACGAGAGCTATCTGCTGAGCAAAAAGTTACTCGTGCCTGTTAGCTCAGCCGATAGCTCACCGTGTGCGGGTACATTTTACTGAGTTTTTTGCCTCATGCAACCTTTTCTCGCGTATCAAACATGTTTGATCGGTGAGCTATCAGCTGAGCTAACAGGCACGAGTAACTTTTTGCTCAGCAAATAGCTCTCGTGTGCGGCAGGCTTTAGGCTCACTAATAATTAGCGAGAGATGGATGCAAGCGTTTCCGTGAGAAGCCCCGTTGCGAAACGCTTGCTTCCGAGTCTTACTATAATCTTGTTTCCTTTGACCTTAGGACGTTCTACAAGTGTATAGTTCGCGGACGCAAGAAGTAACAGTGAAACCATTTCATTTTTATTGCCCATCTGAAAGAGCAAGGGGAATTGTAAGCCTCTCTGATGAGACTATACTTCAGGTGATCAATATACATTGCCTTGTACACGTGCAAAAGTCTCGCAGCTTGTCAACTAGATGTGTTCGCGACAGGCTTGTAGCAAGCTTGTCGACAAGTTATAACAATGTTGACAACATAATGTTGTTAGTTAGCCCCGTTTTATATCGTGTGTCGTGGGTTAAAAGTCGTGTGTCGTGGGTAAAGTCGTGGGTAAAGTCGTGGGTCATAAAATGTGCTAAAAATGCATTTTTTCACGAAGATATTATTTTTATTTTTAATATTTTTTTCGTACTTTTTCCATTTATGCACTAGATAAATACAGGAAAATTTAACGCAACAAATCTCCAGTAATGAAATAATTTCTTATCTTGCTGATATCTATAGTATAACCTGGTATAACAAGTAAATGTTTGATTATGTTTCCGTTTCGTATAGTCTAATAAGCCGCTATAGAGTATAAATGTATTGTTTGATGTATAAATGTATTCTTTAAGTTATACAGTAGGATATAGGTTTATTAGCTTTGGAAGTGTTATAGTCCCTATCATGAACGTCGCGAATAATTATGTCGATTGCATATGTCTGATACTGTGATACAAACATATTGAGCTGTGGGTTTTACGCTGCAGTGCCTAGTATAATTAGTGGCCAACGCTCGAGCCTCAAATTTTGCTATTTTATCTCCTAGACCTAGTATATGTTCGTGGCCCTTAAAGGTAGACCGAAACATTTCATGTGTATGTGGCGTTCGGAAATATTCCATAAATTGCTACGATTTGGGATTTCCCAATTGAAAACCGAAATGATTTGTGCGATGTCGGGCTAATTGCCAACCGAGCGCGCTAGTCGCTGTTATTTCGACAGAATATGATACCTCTACACTTTTCAGCCGTAATTTTCAGCGCACATTGTAATCATATACACTGATATCGTTTAATTTAGCTTCAAAAACTTGATAAAAAAACATGTTATTCGTGTTCGTTCCCGCGGAGCGCAATGGTGTCATAGTTGCCAGAGGCAGAGCACATGCAAAGCCGCCTCCTCGGTATAAATCATGTATGTAACGGGATATCTTCAGATGATTACAATCCGCGCATTATGTATTACGGCTGAAAAGTGTAGAGGTATCATATTCTGTCAAAATAACAGCGGCTAGCGCGCTCGGTTGGCAAATAGCCCGACATGGCGACATCGCGCAAATCAATATCATTTCGGTTTTCAATCGCGAAATCCCAAATCGTAGCAATTTATGGAATATTTCCGAACGCCACATACCCTAAGAACAGCATTCAAACATGAAATGTTTGTCTACTTTTAAGGGCCACGAAGGTCTAGGAGATAAAATAGCAAAATTTGAGGCTCCAGCATTGGCCACTTATAGCCTACAGCGTAGAATTTATAGCTCAATATGTTTGCATCAGACAGTATGCAATCGACATAGTTATTCGCGACGTTCATGATAGGGACTATAACACTCCCAAACCTAATAAACCTATATCTTAATATCCTATAACTTAGGACATTTTATCATCAAACAATACTAGACTTACTGCGAAACGGAAACATTTACTTGTTATACTATAGATAACAGCAAGATAAGAAATAATTTTATTACTGGAGATTTGTTGCGTTAAATTTTCCTGTATTTATCTAGTGCATAAAAGGAAAAAGTACGAAAAAATATTAAAAATAAAAATATGAAAAAATGCGTTTTTAGCACATTTTATGACCCACGACTTTACCCACGACTTTACCCACGACACACGACTTTTAACCCACGACACACGACACACGACATATAGGGACACTCCAGTATAGCCTTTAGATAAATAGCTAGACGGATCTATCGCTTTGACACCTGAAATTCGAGTACGTTCCATATAACTGATAGATTTGTGTTGGAAGAGTAACAAAAGTGCAAGACGTCTTTAATTTCTGCGTGAAAAACTAATTAGCCTTTGTAAAAAGTCGTGGCAATTAATAAGTGCTTAATATACAAGCAGCGAATAAAAAAAGAACATAAACCCCCCAAAAATCTGTTTGAGTGGGTTGGATAATGATGAGGCTAATGTATCCGTGTCGAACATCAATACTTGCCTTGAATGCATGCCGCCTGTTATGTTTGAGTTTTGGCGGAACTGGATGAAAAGTCGTGTTTCGCGCGTAAAAAGTCTTGCGTAAAAGTCGTAATGAGTCGAAAAATACCCTAAATTTGCGGTTTTCCCTAAAAAGTAGCCGCCTGCTCTCAGCCGGAATGGGCGCTGCTGAGGAGGCTAGCTAAAAAAAGCAATTTTAATTTGTGGAATAATTTCTGTTCAGTAAAAAGCATCATAAGTGATGTCCAATGCTCAACTGAATATTTAAAATGCAATGTGTGAAGCCTAGTTTTTACTAGCGACATAATATTATAAGCAAGACAAAAAAGAAATTCTTTACAATTTGCTTTTTTCTACCATATAGGTAGCTTATAATACACTTGGAGTTGTGGTCAAGTGTCGATGCTTATTCAGCACTTCACTGCATTTATTCGTTGTGCATTTGCAACGTCAAATACGCTTGCATGCATTGTTATTGAACCCTTATATAGGGTTGATAACACAATTAAACTTTATATATGGAATATAAGCCATAAGGTAATATGTCCAGTTGGTATATACACCTAGGCTACATTGAATTGAAATTGTTGTGTGGGAAATATATTAATTCTTCAACAAACCCTAGAATATATTTATATATGTCCATCCTCATATCTAAACCTTGCATTGAGATTTGAGAAAACAACTAATAGAACTTTGCGTTCGAAATGAAGTGAACTACATATAGGCAGAGCGCAACAAGATGTAAAGCCTATGCCGGAGGCAATTAATTAAAGGAAACGTTATAATTAAATGCATGATAACACATCGTATTCCGACAAAAAAGTCGCCCATTCACACACTGCCAAAGACTTTGTGAGTTTATAGTCTGTTCCCACGACGGTTATATCCTGCGCATCAGCGGTAGTTTTAGCAGCTTTGACTAAAGTCCTGTTTACACTACAAGCCTTGGTAAATGTGCATTACATTATTATATTGAGACTGGCTGAATTTGGTCTAGAATTTTGTAATTAATTTTGTGTATTTATATGTGTTGCCCGTTGTCCGCTCGTGACGGCTCGTCCGATAATATCTTACTGTGCCCTCACACGTTGCCATAAAAACAAGGCATGCATGGGCCGTAAGTGTTTACATTCCCACAAGCGTAAGCCATGCCTAGGTCACCGGTTGTAGTTGCCCAGATTTCCTGGCCAATAGGTCAGGCCAAGGCTAGGCCAAAGTCTGTTTACACTTTACACTGCCAAAATGTAGGCCAAGACCAGGCGAAGGCTTGTAGTGTAAACACGACTTCAAGAGAGAAATAAAAACATATTATATTGATATACGATGTATTGCGTGGTTTTTGAAAACGAAGCAACGACATATATATAGCATATTATGCTATATAGATATATTGCGTGAAGGTTTCTTAATTTAAGAAACAAACAACAACATATTATATTGCAATATGATATATTGCGTGAGTTCTTAAAGTGCCTATGTCACAAAATTTTTTTTTGATATTTGGTAGAGGACAAAAAGTTAGTTAATAGGTTCTTTAACATTTTTTGGTTTTCTCTTTTCATTCGCGAGATACGAGGCTCTAAAGAGCGATTTTCGTAAAATTGTCGCGTATCAACAAGAGTCTGGGACGAGCGTGGTGTGACGTAGCTTAAGGGACTTAATTTCGACGCGCATTATACATTTGATATATTTTCCAGCATGTCAGGCAGTAGCTCGGATTCGGAAAGCACTCATAGTTCTCAATGTGACTCAGAATACAATTATATTCCTGGATATATTATAGAGGATGAATCAAATGATACTAGTCACGAAATTGGAACTCTAGAAGCAGTTGATAGCGAAATTTTAGGTGATTATGATGCATGCCTTTATGCCGATGAACCGCTAGCCGGCGCAGAATGGTACGCACCATATTTCAGAAATTCAGCAGAACACAAGCAACAAAAAGAGATGCTACAGCGAAGGTTAGAGGGCCTTGAAGATATTAAATTATGGTGAGTGTAAACATAGATTTATTTTAACATTTTAACGTAAAATAAGTATCTCTGGCTAATATTATATTTTGTTGGTTATTTTTTGGTGGATACGGGCTCATATGGCATCAGTCACAACAAAGGGTTAAAACCACACTTCCATCACCTTCGCAAGAAAATACAAGACACGAGATCAAAGAAAATATAAACAGACTGGTTCCGAGCAAATTACGTATTTATTCTTCTTTGAAGCTACAGTGTTTATCTGTGATGACGTTTATTTAATACGAACGATTGAACGATTGTATTTACTCGCAAGTTCAATTCTTAAAGCCCATTTTTCCAAACAAATAGGTCTGAATCCCGAGTGTAGAGTGATACAGCACGGCGGCTGTAGCACATCTTCTAAAACAAAGTTATCCTTCAGAACATCCCTACAAGATTCCATCTCCTGACAGCACCAAGCTTCGTGTGTATATTCACTATGGTATATTGTATATGTATTATCGCACAATCGCCGCATTTACATTTGTGAAATATGATACAGGTGAGGGTTTGATGTGACTGATGCCGTATCAAAAATATATCAGCCAGAGATACTTATTTTACACCGTCAAAATGTTAAATAAATCTATGTTTACGCTCACCATGATTTAATATCTTCAAGGCCGTCTAATGTTCGTTCTAACATCTCGTTTTGTTCCTTGTGTTCCGCATAGTTTTAAATATCACGCGTAGCTTTTATCGCGCGTAGCATTCTTGGCTCGCTAGCGGCTCATCGGCATAAAGACAATATGCATCATAATCGCCTAAAATTTCGCTATCAACTGCTTCTAGAGTTCCAATTTCGTGACTAGTATCATTTGATTCATCCCATCCTGTATAATATACCTAGAAATATAATTGTATTCTGAGTCACATTGAGAACCATGAGTGCTGGAAAACATATGTCTTCCCAATAGCTTTTTAGTACTCCTTCACATGTGAATTCGAACTTCCGTCCCTTAAGCTACGTCACACGGCTCTCGCCCCAGAGCCTTTTTCGGGTTTTT